AAGAAGAGCAGATCATCATTGACGTCCATAGGATTTTAGGCAACAGGCAAATTAGAATCTTAATTTTCATTTCATATTTACCCTTCTTTACTAAATGTAAAAAAAATGTGTTCTAGTTTTTACTTTTAATTTTTAATTTTTTTTTTCATTTACAAAGTTACAAAATTAATCATAGCAACTAAAAGAAGGAGAGTAAAATTAATGAAGATAAAGTTTAAAAAACTTCTAAAATTTGTTTTTTGTTTCTGGTACTGTTTTACAAAAAAAAATTATTATGTTTATGTTTTGATTATAAAACAAATATATGCAACTAATAATACACATATGAATTTTAGAAAAAATATATATACATATATATATAAATGTTTCATGAATTTAATTTGCATGTACTCAAAAATGCAGGTGGGCACAAATTGCAAAGCACCTACCAGGCCGAACCGACAATGAAGTGAAGAATTTTTGGAATTCATGCATTAAGAAAAAGTTGATCTCACAAGGACTTGATCCGAAAACTCATAATCTCATCCCTTCATCCAAGCGATCCTCTCGCAATCAACAAACCTTTTCTACCTCATCACATGCTTCTACCTCTACTCTTCCTATCCTCACATTACCTCCTCCGCCGTCAGTCAGGCTTGCTTGTGGATATGATAATCAAAAACCTAATGTACCTCTTCCCACCGCTACTTCGACTTCTAATGGCATTATTTCAACTTGTTTAACAACCTTTGATCATGAGCTTGACATTATGGAATGCCTCGAAACATCGAAACTTGAAGATCTGCAACCACATGATCAAAACATTCAAGTGCATGAGGATTCGAGTGTCGCAATGGATGGCAATGGAATAGTTATCCACAATTCGTTTGACAACACTATTTTTGATCTTGACTTTATGGACACATTTATATTTGATTCATTATGTAGTGACTCAATAACTTCTATGGATGATCTTCTGTACTGCAACTTTTAGGTTTTCATCTCTATGTATGTACACATAATTATTTAATTAATTGGTTTGTGCTTTTCAAATACCTCATGTTTTTATGTAACTAAATGAATCACTTGTATATGTATTGATAAAAAATAAAAAAGATGAGATTTTATTTCTTTTCATTAAAAAATAATATTTTCCTTCTATGTCAATGTGTGTTTAAATACAAATTAGTATTCCACTCAGTTTTTTCCTATTCAAAATTTAAAATTAAAAAAAAATGTAACTTGTAAATAGACATACTCATCAACCCATTAACTCCCCTAAGGGCACCCAATAAAGTAAAGTTCTTGGCAATTAATGAGACATTAAACATATTATTCTTTTTATTGGGTCATGTATTCAATAATATAAAATCATCATCCCAACAAGATAGTTTACTGGAGATTTCTAATATGTTTTCTCTAAATGATATTTCTCTTACTGAAAAAGGCGCAGCACCACGTGTCCGGAGGATGGCTATTTGATAAAGAAGGTAAGAATATGGGACACCCGACCACCTAACACCAGAGGGTATGGTGGTGAGTGGACAGAATATGGACGCGAATTTGGAGAATGCTAGCGACATAGATTTGACAAAATTAGAGGATAGAGATCGGGTGGAATACGAACAGCAAAGAATGAGACTTTATAGATGCTGGGAACGAAATAGAGCATCTTTCGAGGAAAAACTTACCAACACAAGGCAAATGGAGAAGAAACAAGATGACTTTAAAATCAAGAATGACGACGTGATCCTGGTTACAGATGGTGACTTTCCAGCGGTGGCCTTCTCAGATAGAATTCATAATTACTTGTCTCAATCCATGAGGAACTCGGCGTTCATCAAATTGTTAGACAGAGCCATCTGCTACCATCCTCTCCTCAACTGTCTCTAGAGCTTATGGCGGCCTGCTAAAACATTTCAACTTATTAATCTAGAGAATAATTTCTACCTGGCCAAGTTTAGTGACCCGAATAATTATACATATACGCTTACAAAGGGCCCCTAGGTCAGTTACGGGCACTACCTAACAGTGCAACCATGGACAACATCATTTTCAATCGAGGAAGATAAAGTCATGTCGGTGGTTGCTTGTGTATGGTTCTCCGATTTACACATCCAATATTACCACAAAAGCATGTTAAGAATCATTGCTAAGGCGATCGACACGGTAGTGAGGATAGACTATAATACAGAATCAACAGAGCAGGGGAGGTTTACCCATCTAGTCGTCTCAGTGGATCTCACCAAACTCTTAGTCTCTAAAATCCGAATCAAGGGGCACCGTCAGAGGGTAGAATACGAAGGGCTGCCGACAACCTACTTTAAGTGTGGATGTTACGGTCACCTCCGTGAACAATGTCCTAGGACATCCAGGGAGTCGCCACTGATGGGGAGAGTCGACTTAAAGAAAATATCAAGGTTGTTTCGTCGCAATCGGTGGCACAAAGGAAAAAATTTGGGTCATGGATGCAAGTGGTGCAATGGGAAAGGAGAAATGACAGGAAAGGAAACAACCTCATCAACAAGAAAGGTTATGTTACCACTGGCCACAACGGATCGAGGTTGCACTTTGATTTGATTGTGGAGATAGGGGAAGGAGATTCATTCAACACCGGATTGAGTGCGAATTTACGAGGGAAGTCAGTTTTGGGTGTTAATGCAGGAGAGCAGAGGAAAGGCAAAGAGATTAATACAAGCCGGATTTTAGGAGACGATGAACAGGGTATTAAAGAGGGTGAACAATTAAAAAAAATTGGACCTAGGCTAGGCCGGCTCATGAAAAGCATGCAAGGCCCTAGTACAATGCCTGATGAGTTGAGCTCAGGAAAGGAAACAACGGATGCTGCTCAATGTGGAATGCTCGAGACAGGAAAGCTTAATGGGGAAATTATGGGCCTCCTAATTAGCTTCGACCCGTTGGCCACGATCCATCAGAGTCAGACATTACTTGACCCACAAAGGAACTCGATGGTTTGGATAGGTGACCAGGTTGAACCAAACATCCACACTGACCTGGCCAAAATTGCAAGCTCCAACACCTCTCCGTGAACACTCAAAACCAGCAGACGGTCAGGCCTCTTGATAGACAGCCTTCTGGTATTCATGTGAACAAAGACTCCCACCAGGACTACAAATTGAAGAAATGCCACGAAGAAGCCCTAGACGCCTCCAAACTTGTAGTGGAAGAAGTTCTAGGAGGTGCTCACACCTGGATCGAGGGCGACGAAGATGTGGCACTAGTTGGCGCTGCTACCGACAACACTGCCTGAACCTTTTGGTTTTTCCTTTTTTTAGGTGGATCCGTTGGCCGTGGTATCCATATCTCTCTTATTATTCAATGTTTATGGATTTAAAAATATTCACCTGGAATTTCTAAGGAGAGGCTAGCCCCAACTTTGGACATATTCTTCGAACCTTTATAAGGCAACACAGACCTTCGATACTAGCCCTTGTTGAGCCGCGTATTACCGGTGAGAAGGTAAACATGATCATTGGTAGATTGGGCTTTAATTCATCTCATCGGGTAGAAGCTCATGGGTTTGTTGGAGGTATCTAGCTTTTATGGAATGATCCAATTCGTATCGATATCCTAGTTAATAACGTCCAATTCGTTCATATCCAGATTCACCATAATGATAGCGAATCGGATATCCTTTTTACCGTTATGTATGGAAGTCCCTAAGCACAGAAGTGTCACTATCTCTGGACTCACCTCACCTAACTCAGTAGCACCATTCATGAGCTTTGGTTGATTGTCATGGATTTCAATACTATCATAGATAGCTCTGATAGATAGGGTGGTACTGTTAGAAAAAGTGGAGGTTGTCCGTCTTTTTCTTAGTTTATCAGTCACCACTTCATTTCCCAAATTGATTTTGCGGGCCCAAAATTTACCTAGAGAAGAAAAACGTTGTTCCAACGTTTTAACAAGGCACTCGTAAACTCCCCCTGGTTGGACATGTTCCTGGACTCGATTGTACAATATATCTCCAAGCTCTAATATGACCATAGACCTCTCCTTATTAATACAAGGTCATGTTATACGTAGTATTCCCCGCCCTTCTACTTTCTTGCTGCTTGGCTTACCCATCTTGGTTTTTCTAGCCTTGTCCAAAATATGTGGAAGGGTGGTGATTCACTCCTGGGCACGATAGATGATTTCTCCTGACATGCTAAGGACCGGAATACAATAATATTCGACCATATCTTTCAGAGAAAAAGATGTTTAATGACACGTATCAATGGCCTTCAGAAGGGCCTTAAACGCTCTAATTCTGAGTATCTGAGTAGGCTCAAGGTCTCCCTTCACCAGGAACTCGAGGATACTCTTTTGCAGGAAGAACTCTATTGGATGCAGAAGTCAAGATGTGAGTTCATCTCCCTAGTTGACAAGAATACAACCTACTTTCATGTGCACACGATGGCTATGTGTAGGTAGAGTAGGATTATTATGCTCCATGATAATACGAGCAATTAGATTTCGGATGAGAGTCAGCTTAAGCACATGGTCACTGAATCCTTTATAGCACTATAATGCAAGAAGGCATCTAGTGGTCACATTTTCACTATCCACGGTAGATTCCCAATCCTTAGTATAGATTCTATCAATGCATTGAGTAGCCTAGTCACTAGAGAGGATATCCATATGACATTATTTGACATAAAACCTTTTAAGGTGCTGGGCCCTGACGACTTGCATCCGGCCTTTTTTCAGCACCACTGGGACGTGGTCGGTGACTCGGTGTGTGCTATGGCGATAAGAATTTTTTGAGGGAGAGAGCTGGATATAGGTCTTAATAAAACTTTAATCACACTGATTCCTAAGGTGGTAAGGCCTACGTCTATTAAGGACTTTCGTCCTATAAGTCTGTTCAATGTTCCATATAAAATTATCACGAAAATCATTGTTAACAAGCTTAAGAATATCATGTCTGGTCTGATTAGTGAGATTCAAGCGAGCTTTGTTGAAGCCAGAAGCATCTCAAACAATATAATAATGGCCTAGGAGATTATCCACTCAATGAGGTGAAAGAAAGGGAAGGTAGGTTGGATGGTGATTAAAGTGGATCTTGAGAGAGCTTACGATAGACTCAGTTGGAAGTTCATTGAGGACATTCTCTAGGATGCTAGCCTCTTACAGGATCTAATTTGGGTCATCATGCATTGCATTAGCTCTGGCTCTTTTCAGCTCATTTCGAACATGGAGGCCACGAAGGAGTTCATTCCATCGAGAGGTATCTAGCAGGGTGACCCTTTATCGCTTTATATCTTTGTATTATCTATGGAGCGTCTTTCTCAGTATATTGATAAGTTAGTCCGCAATGGGGACTGACGTTCGATTACCCTGAGTTCGAGGGGTCCTAAACTCTCACACATTTTTTTTGCGAATGACTTAATCTTTTTTAGTGAGACTTCCAATAATCAAGTGCAACTTATTAAGAGGTGCTCGCTGAGTTCTGGAGACAAGATCAGCATTTTTAGATGTGCATTTCTCCTCA